AATAGATGATATCTTTAACCTGTCTACTAACTATATTATCAAGCTCAAAATAACTTGGTGCTTATTACTTCCAAATATTCAGTATATGCAAGTGTCACTCACCAATATACCCACAGTACTAGATCTATACATATTTGATGTAGTATTAGCTAGAGGTAGTGCTTTTAGTAAAGGCTATAAAATTTTGCCTCAAGATTGTACAAATAAGAGTTAGGTGAGATATATTGGTTTATATTTGTAAGTGTGAATTATATATGAAATAAGCTTATTATTTTTAAAATATCAAGTTATGTGAAAGAGATATAAAAACTATAACACTTATAGATAAATATGCAAAACAATTATCTAATCCAACATTTGTATACACAGAATATCTTGAATATTTTTTGTGGGTATATAAAATTTATTTCAATATATTTAGTTTTATAGAAATTTGTTAAGTATTAATTATATTCTTGAAAAAATGGATGTCGCAAAGAGAAATACAACTAGAAAGATCATATTGTAGTTTCTCATGATAAATCACTAAATTTATATAATATTGAATATCATAAAAGTCACGATCCAGACATGTTAGAAAAAACTACTTCGAATGGCAAATTCAGTCAAAAAAGCAATAACTAGTAGAGCTACAAATATAACAACTTCAATATTGATAACAGATTATAGAGCAAACTTCTGCTTAAAAAAAAAAAGTTAAATTTAATTTGTTAATTAGGCTTTTTTTTTTATAGAATTAATAAATAGTGCAAAGATTTTAAGTACAACTATTACTATACCAAAAAAACCAAGCACAACCAACATCTACTTGTTTTGTTCCTAATCTCGAGGCAATTCAGAATGCCCTCAAATATGATAAAAAAACCAGTCTATTAGAATATGACAAAGTAAGAAACTGTTTTTGTAAGAAGTTATTTTTCTTTATTTAACTTTACTTGTCAACAGGTTTGCTCTATAATGGATACCCACAAGTTCAAAGGCACTGTTATAGCGAAGCAATATGGTATTAAGGATACTCAAGATTCAAAAGATCAAGCTGTGTTTCTTGGTATTACATCTACGATTATGTCAATACTATTAACAAAGTATCCAGATTTTTTAGCCTTAGACTCTACTGGTCATCGTAACAGCTTGAACTTTCTAAACACCACCTTTATGGTTAGATTAGATGAACCTCATGGTCGAATTATTGCAATATTTGTAAGTAACAAGAAAATGACAGCAGTTGTCGATCTGATATTTGAATTGGTAGGTTTTAGTTGATTTATGTTAGATTTTTTTTAATAATTTCTAATATTAACTGGATAAAGTTAATTCAATATAGTAATAAAAATGATGTTTAACTAAACCCTAAATGGTTAGCAATAGATAAATAAGACTCTTATCTGATATCAACTAGAAATCATTTTCCTGATATGCAAGTAGTTTTGTGTAACTAGTATGAGAGTGAGTTTTCTTAATATTAAATTATTACTACGTTGCCTGCAGTATTCTGCATGATGATCAATTTTTAAAATTGCTAAGGGAAAAACCTTGAACTAAAAATAATAAACTATTATTTCTGATTTAAGATTTTCTCTTAGCAGCACTTATATATATCATACTATTATATTATTATGTGATATCAAATGTACATGATCTTTAATTTTAGAAATAATTACCAACACAGCTTATCAGCATAGCTAACAACACAGCAAAGACCAGTATTTACAGTTAGATTATAGCAGAATTAGAAAATTAGATTACATGTATCAGTAGCATTATATA